TATAAGAATATTTTTTTTCCTTTTTATTATTTTGTTTAGCAGACTTGACCTTTCACTTAATGAAAAATAAACCATATCCACTTTAATTAAAGTAAAAATACCTAAAGCACACTTTTTCCCTCAAAATAACAAATTTGTATTAAAGATGTGGAATTACAGCTCACTTCACATATCGAAGGATTTTGAAATTGTGGGTGTTATCTAACACTTTCTAAATGTTTTCTGTTTATAATGCATATTTTTACCTAATCCTCAGATTGAAATGAAGTATTCTAACACTCATTATAAAACTACTTTTCTAAGGTACATTAAATTAGCAAAGATAGACATAATTTATAGAATATTTTATTGTGTGCTTCCATGACTTAAACAAAAAGAAAGAAAAAGAAACCGAGTTACCAGTTTCTAAAGCCAGGGTGTACCTTACATTTTATCTAGTTCAACTCACTCCCAGATACTTGATCGAGAGTGGGAACCCCAAAGGACAAACTATGACTCCTAGGCCAAAGTTCTTTTCACTGCACCCCTATCGCCGTGGATTTTTATCTGATTTAAAACACACACACACCATTAGTAAAAGAAGATGTAAATTATAAAATTTCAGATTTCAAAAAAACTTGTAAGATCTTCCAAAAAGGCTTTTAAGATCAAACGGCTGCCCACTGAAGGTTACAAGATCATTACTTAGTCTTTGCTTAAAAAATAAACTGGATTCATAAATGAGTACAATCTTCTTTTTCATGAAAAAATTTCAATCCTCTTTGTTTAAGGATCTAAACTCATTGTTTTAAATAAAAGTGACCGTATATTAATAAAGATCTCACGATAAATGCAAAAAAGACCTCATAGCTAATATAAAAAGGTATTGTCTGTTAGAATATAAATTTGCTCTTAACACAAAACAGCTGAACCAAGCTACCATAAATGTACCAAGCATCAGACATACATAGACATATACAGTCAAATCCACATGTACAGTACACATGTTAATGAAAAAAATCAAATCACACTCAAAAAATAACAATTAAATCAGGTAAAAATGAGTTTCTATGTTAACAAAGGTGATGAGATTTAAAAAGCAATAAATTAGTGAATTACTAAGAAGGATTGAGATTGTGTTCAACTATTTATAGTATATTAGTAAACAAACTTTTTCTCCTCAGTTGGCAGAACAGGAAACTTTAAGAGCAACCTGAGGGAAACATGGTCTGAGGGCTTAAAATACATCTTGGCCTGCCCTATATGAAAATAGCACATTGTAATCAACAGTGAAAAAGGAAAAGAATGATGAGACAATTCAGCTCCTGGTTTTTTATCATACTGTCCATATTCTAAAGAGTGTGAATAATTTACTAGATTGCCAGTGAGCTGGAAGTCTGAGAGAGAAATGTGGCCCAAAGAATCCTCTTATCTACTTTCCAATCAGGTCTCAAAATATGAAGAAATTTAATCTTTTTATAATAATCCCTTAAAGGCTGTTCTGTGTCTGAATCATTATTTAATGACACCAACACCTGGTCACACTGAATGTGGAAATAGCCAAAGCTATGTAAGTCATCAGGGAAAAGAAGCCTAAAAATAGATTCCAACTGATTCCATTATTTATAAAGGTGAAACGTTCTTAGATACTGATAATTACTTTAAAAGACGACAGTAGCCATGCAAAAAGAGCCAACTGCTCAAAGTGCTTGCCAATGAAGCACTGGACTTTCATTCAGAGGACACGTCTTCTTAAATTCCAGAAAATTCTTTGCATTTTTTTTTTCTTTGAATGCTACCTCTCTTCCTCATTCCCTCTTTCTCCTTCCGGAACTCCTCCTATTGAATTACGTATGATTTCCATTTTACCCTTCATGTCTCTTAACTTCTCTTTCATATTTTCCACTGTTTATTCTCTGTGCTGCATTCAAGCAATTTCTTCAGATTGATCTTCAGTTCACATTTTTGTTCAGTCATATTTAATTGTACTTTAACCCACCCTTGAGTTGTTTTTTAATTTTATAGACAATATTTTTCATTATAGTTCTACTTGTCATTTTTCAAATCTGCCTGGACTTATGAACAATGTCTGTTCTCCTATTTCAATTTCTTTTCTTACATATTTAATCTTTACAGACATACATTTTTATATATCCAGTAATTCCAATTAATTGAAGTTCCTGGAGATCTAGTCCTGCTGCTTGTTATACTTACTGACTCTGGTGTCTAGAAGATTGTTTCATGTGCATTATTTGATATTGTGAACTCTTGGTAAGTGGACTTTATCTGGGACTCCTGTGTGGCTTGGGTTCGAGGTTGTGTCCTTTTAGGACAGTGGCTTCTGCCAAGTAACCCGGGGGGATTATCAGCCCTGGACCACTCTACCTCTGTGGGTTCCCAGAAGATGCAAGCCGTATAAATTTGAACCCCAAAGTCTCATGAGGATAGGTCCATGAGAACAAATTTTCAAGAAAGTAGGCATTCTGTTTCCACATAAACCCCAAGTCAAACAAATAAGTTTGCTGGTTATCTCATGGCATTAAATTTCATTCCCATGCTCACAACTCTCAAATTTCTATCTCCAAGTCAGACTTCACTCTTGGGGATTCATATAGCCAGTTACCTACTGACTACCTTCCCTTGAATGTCTAATAAGCATCTCAAACTTTATCACAACCAAACCTGAACCTAATTTCTGATTTCCCTTCCTCCACTATCCCCTATTCCCGAGAAAACCGGCTCCCATTTCAGCAACTCTCAGCGGGGCATGACTTCAACTCCCACTCACCACTCTTGATTTCCCTCTCTGTTGCTGACACTTGGTGATTCCCTTTTCTTGTGTTAACCTTGATTTACAGTTAGAAGATTCATTTTATAGTACTATATCCAGTAATGAGCAGAAGTCTTACACCATCTGCTTAGATGGTCATATTGACTAGAAGTGTTCAGAGTTGGCTTTTCAAACGTGAGTAGGCAAAGGGGGCTATTTAAATTGTCTCTGCAATCACACAAGTCCTCCACTGTCCAGGTCATGTCCTTCAGTCTCGACTTGTTCTTTTCTCCTCTTTCCCCTTTTAACACTTAGTTCAACATTCCTACAGCTGAAGCACCCCCACTTCTTTCTTAGAGAAATAACACATACTATATATTCACTTGTCTCTATGTTGGTTTTTTCACTGAAGATCACTCCATAGCAGTATAAAGGGATACTCTTCACTCCTTTTTAAAGTTGTGGATGTAATATAGGTTATTCAGCCCATCCTGATCAACATTTGGGTCGCTTCTATCTTTTGCTATTACAAACAGCACTGCAATAAATAGCTTTGAGTGTATCTGTCTTTATGTTTACAGTATAACATTAAGATAGATCCCTAGAAGTAGAAATGCTGTGCCAAAGGGTAAATATAGATATTGTCTGTATTTGTTTAAAGGGCCATTGGCAATTCTTTTTCTATGAACCAGCTGTTCATGTATCTTGCCCACTTTTCTATGAAGATGACTGATAGTCTTCTTTCCCTCTATTTTTAGGGATTTTAACCCTTTGTGATATAAATTGTAAATACCTTTTCCGAATTATATTGTCTATATAACTTTTCTAGATATCGTCAAATTCTCTTCCCTAAGGTTTAAACCAGTCTGCATTTCCTACAGCAATGTATGAGAAAGCCTGTTTCTCACCACGGCCTCGTTAACAGAATAGCTTGTCAAGCTTTCATTTCTGCCCATGTGCTTAGTGAGAAATGATAACTCAGTATAGTGTTAGTTTGTTGTTGTTAGGTGACGTGTAGTTAATTTTCGACTCATAGTGAACCCATGTGACAAAGCAGAATTGAACCCATAGGGTTTTCACGGCTGTAATCTTTACTGGAGCAGATTGCCAAGTTTTTCTCCTGAGGAGCTGCTGGGTAGGTTAGCAGCCAAGCACTTAACTTTTGCGCCATCAGGGCTCCTTAGTGTTACTCTGCATATCGCTTATCAGTATAGAAAGGTTAGCATTTTTTCATATGTTTAAAGGGCCACTGGCAATTCTTTTTCTGTGAACTATCTGTTCACGCATCTTGTCCATTCTTCCATGGAGATGACTGACAGTCCTCTTACTCTCTATTTTCAGGGATTTTAACCCCTCTGTTTATGATATAAATTGTAAATGTCTTTTAACAATTTGTCACTTTTGTAAAATTTTATTTTCTGTGTTTTCAGCCATACCAAAGTTATTATTTTTACCATTAAACTTATCAATATTTCCCTTATTGTATCTGAATTATGAGTTATAATTATGGTATTTACTCTACTTGCAGGTTCAGAAAAATCGACCAATGAATGTTTCACCTTCGTAGTACTTGTAAGGTTTCTTTTTTTTACATTAAATGTCTGATTCATTTGTTATTATCCTTGGCATAGTACAAAGAAAATCTAATACTGTCTTCCTTTATTATATACTACATTTCCATGTGCAACTGGATTGGTCTATTTTCTCCTTTTTCTATTCAATTCCATTAGCCTGTCTTTTTAAGCACCAATATCACAGTTTTAATTTTAGAGGCATAATAATATGTTTTAATATCTAGTAGGGCTACGACCCTCCTCCACTGCTTTTCTTTTTGAGGGTTTTTCTGGTTGTTTACTTACTTGCTCTTTCCAGTGAAATTTATAATCATCTTGCCTAGCTTCAGGGGAAAAAAAAATACCCAGATGGAATAATGATAAAGTTCTAAATTAACTTAAGAGAGATTGTCATACTTAGCGACGTTGAAATTAAATGCTAAGTACAAAGACTAAAACCTGGACCCAAGTCTGAAAATACTTACCATTCTCTGCTTGTGAAAATACATAGGCTGAACTCAGAAAGCATGTGCTACATGACCATGGAAAAATTTTATTTAAACAAACTTACATTAACTGGCAGAGGATCACATTCGTGTCATGTATTTTTTCTAATAGATTCTAATATAATCAATTAGAAACAATCAAAATGATCAAATAACAAAGCACACAAGACATTAGTAATACATTTGACTCACCTTCCTTTTTCAGCCATTTCACAATGTTCCCTTCTTCCATTGTAGGAGATAGTGATGGCATTAGTATCTTAATAGGATCACCTGAAATGGAAAAAAAGGAAAAATTAGCCACAAAAACACAATGTACCTCAGGAGGCAGCAATAAAAGTCAAAATAAATTACTACCAAATTCTCTCTGTATGACTGAGAATGAGAATATTCCAAAGTCTTAAAGACTCCCAACTAGTCATATTAAGTGTCCAGTAAATAGTATGAAAACATGAAATTCTCAAAGATTTTTTTTTTTAAATAAAAATCTTTTTTGGAATACTTTCAACTCCTTTTTCATAGTTCTCCAGTACTCTAAATGTATTTTCAAGCCAGTTGCTTACAAGATTAAAGGAAAAAAGGGGGTGATTTATGTTTCACCACCTTCCTCTTCCCCCTTTTATTGCTGTAAAAAAATATTTACAGGTAAAATGATCAAGGGGAGGGGACAACAAAACCAGAGCCCAATGGGTGTGAAGCAGCAATGGAGGTGTGTCTGCTTTGCACACACAAACTCCTCAACAAAAAGCCCATGGTCGAAATATGGGGTATGGGGTTGCATTGGGAAGCCCAACTATAGATGGCCTTTTTCATTTTTTACATGGCTTGATGAAGAAAACAAATAAAAACATTTACCTAAAAACGTATAACCAGCCTAAGCCTCAGCATTTAATTTTCTGAAGCTCATAGTAATAAACAGTGCTTTAAAAAAAGGCAAACAAAAACAACTACTTTCTAACAGCGTGATGATAAATGGCCAACCTCGTCTTGAAAAGTATAGCTTAAAAAAAAAAATCCCAACATGTTGCTTCTATTAAAATGTTGTAACCCTGGCATTATGAGGCAGAGTAACTCATAATCACATATGAATTAAACTGATATATCAAACAGAGTTCCACTTCAATGAAGCAAAATAAATGGACTTCACTGATTCTACATCCAGATTTGCATTTATGACAAACCCGAAGTCAATTCTCGGAAAACAAAGTCTCTCTTCGATATTTTTTATACCTTAGTTTTAGCTGCTACAATATAATTCTTATTTATTTTATGATTCTATCTCCTATTATAATCTCTCACCTAAGAGACCTTCATGTTTCCATTATTCCTGACACTAAGGACTATACTGAGAAACTTTTACATTTATTATTATTTTCTAAATTACCACATCAAAAACCTCAAGAATTTTCATATTGTAAAAATAAAAAAGAACATAATCATTCCTCATACAGTCAGCCTTCATGGATGAACTGAAATTGCTCCTCTGAATAATGATCATAAAATATAAAAACTCTGTAATAGATCACTATCCTTACTCTGAAATGAGGGCAACAAAAAACAAAGGCATTCTGGATATCTCCATTATTTGGTACTATCTCTTGATTGATTATACTGGCTTATCATGAAAGAGTAAAATAGGTAATATATTTTCTGATTAATCTAACCAATCTATCCTCAAACACTCATGCTAGAAAATCACTTTAAAACATATGCATTAATTTATTAATAACAGTACATATTTCATTCTCGTATATTCTCTTTTGATTGGCACATCATATACATCTTTTCCAAATGTATTTTTCCAGTGGGAAAGTAATTATACAATCATAATATCAGCTTTGAGTGACAGGCTGCACATAAGTCATTAGTATCTGTCCTTTAGGAGGCTGTCAACCCTATGAAGATAGTGTGGGACTTTCTAGACTCCTTGGAATTTTAACCCTATACCTAATATTATTTCATTTCACTAGAAATTAAATATAGCCTCCTACTTCATTCCATTTAGCAGTTCATTCTACCTTTCTCCTGTCAAAAGGAGAAAGGTTTGGTATGTGCACCAATTATATTTCCTACTAATACCAACTGGGCACAACTATGGCAAAAATAAGGGAGATGTGGTATCCCCCATTGGTCATGGTCATACAAATATTATTTCAATTAGTCCTCAAAAAATGACCCAAAATTTAGTTAGAATTTAATCCTGTAAGGAGCTATGGTAGTGCAATGGTTAAGCACTGGGTTGCTAACTGACAGGTCCATGGTTAGAATCCACCAGCAGGTCCATGGAAGAAAAGATATGGCAATCTGTTCTCGTTCAGATTACAGCCTAGAAAACCCCATGAGGCAGTTCTGCTCTGTCCTATAGAGTTGCTATAGGGTCACTACGAGTCAGAATCAACTTGATGGCATACAATAGTCATTTTAAGTGTTCTGTTTCTTTTTATACAGCTAACAAGTTATAGCTAACTGCTGTGAAGTTTGCCATTCTACAGTAGTTTAAAACACATCTAAAAATTTTTAAGAAGGCTAAGATGCATATTTCAGGTATAATGTATTTAAATGTACCGATTTTAAAAGTATAGTCTTACAAGTCATTCCACAACTACTTGTCATCGAGTCGATTCCGATTCATGGCAACCCCACACATACATCGCCACAAGTCACTAGAGCTGTGTTAACCTTTTCATCTCTCAATAGAATAACATAATAAATTAAAATTGTTTGCTTAAGGATATTGATGTTTTACCTGCCATATCGGGCATACCAGCAATACATCGATCACTAAATTTTACAGCAGCTTCTCTAAGCAATTCCTACGTTTCCAAATTTTCTCTTCCAATTTTTCTACAGCATAATTCTGTCTTCAACTTCAAATATGATACACTAATCTAATTTCTTGTTTCCTGAAGTATTTCTTTTATCTTATTAGGAACAAAACACTGCTACTTCAACAAAATCAATTATGTCAAAGCTTTAAATTGATGATCTATATATGAATTCTGAAAGGTCTCTGGGTTACAAAAAAATTAATACAAGCAAACTCTTAAAATACAAATGCAGAACAAATTACTTCGTGGTTAATACAAAGTAGATCTAAGTTCCATTACTCTAGCTAAAGTAATAAAGGCATTTCAGCAGTTTACATATGGTACAGTTTGAGCTTCATGCTCTAGTCCATTTGTATAACCATAATCCAAGCACACAAAAATCATGAAATGAGGACAGACCAAATGAAGAAGTAAACTAGCCAGCATTTTTTTTAGTGAGGCTCCATCCCTAACATTAATTTAGTTCTCTAACAGGGAGAGATGCAGCTCATTTAATCACATATCTCTCCAATGCAAGAACTCATTAAACAAAACTGAACCTTTAAAACTGCTGCTGAAATAAAACAATTCTGCCACCTGTAGGCTGGATGAAATAAAGCTGAATGGAGCACAGGTAATTTAAAAATCAGCACCACGACACAGAACAATAACACTGCAGCTTTGCATAAAGGCAGCTAAAGCAAACTTCGGGGGCGGGGAGGAGCACATACTGGAAAAATAAGTGCTTCTCATATAAGTTCAAATAGTTATTGTAGTGTGGTACTGGTATAAGAATGCACTTGAAAAGGTCAATAGAATACAACAGAAAAAAACAATATGCATAACAGTTTATGTGAAATTAGCATCTATAGTTCTTGGCACAGTAACAAGCTCATAAAAGATGACCCACAAACAGTACGTAGAACATGTTTCAATTTCTCCCTGTCTCCCTCACACACACGTGAAGATATACTCCAAAATGACAACAGTAGTTCTCTCCAGTTGGTGTTATAAGTGCTTTTATTTTTTTTACCTATATTTTAATAATTTTCCACAATAAATTTATCTAACTTCACTCTGAAAATCAATCCAATCCAATCCAATTCAAATCTATTCAATTCTGTTCCTAACTGCACCTGCAGCAGTTCTTCCTTTGACCCTAATACTACCCAGAGCTAGGTCAGACCTCATAAGTTAAAGAACCCAGTCCTCCAGACTGCCAAGTCTGCCCAAGACTTCAGACACCAGCTTAAAGCTTGGGGGTCCTTACAACACCCTCACTTCTCACCTGCGGGCTACAAATTCAGGGTTTTTCTACTATCCCTCAGGATGCCAGCCATAAGCTCAGGGATCCCCAGGCCTCACTTACTTCTGACCTACTGGCTCACTACTCCCCTTTGGTTTGATAACTTGCTAGAATGACTCACAAAATTCAGGAAAGCCCTATAGTGACAATTACCATTTCATTATAGCAAAAAGGATACAAATGAAAAGACCCATAGGGTGAGGTCTGGGAGGGTTCCCAACATGAAGCTTCCACGTTCCAAAGGACGTGCTACCCTTCCAAGCACCGATGTCTTTCACCAACCAGGAAGCTCTTGGAGCTTTCATGTCCAGAGTCTTTATTAGGGCCTCATTTCATAGGCTTGACTGATTGAACTCAACCTCCAATTCTCCTCCCCTAAAGTTGGGCTGATATCACCAGGTGCTTCTTTCCAGCCTGTCCAGCCACTTTCCAAGAGTCACTTGACTAGGTGTGATCTACAGGGATTATAGTTAAAAGACACTTCAACCATTGGAGAAATTTCAAAGTTCTAGAGGTTATCTCTCAGGAACCAGGGACAAAGACCAAATTCTTTGGATACAGTTAACTGTAAACCCTACACACTCCCTTCCTAAACTTTACCATCCCCCTCACTCCCTCCCAGTTGCCAGCAAGCTGACACTGACTCATGGCGACACTAAGTAAAGAATGTTTTGTTTTTAACCTAAACATACATGAATAGGGAGAAAAAAAGAAAGGACAATGGCACACAATTTTGGAACTTGAAAAGTAAATGGTTAAGTACTAATTGACTAAAGAGACCCTAGAAAGCTAAATCCTAAGGCAGCATTGGGGAAAGCTGAGAATCACTTGATTCATACCACAGACTTCCCAAAAGGCCCAGGAACTGGCAGTACTGAGGGGGTGGAAGAGGGCTAAAATAAGGATTGGGAGAATGCTGTTTGAGATGCAGTTGGAGATCTCCTCCCTCACTCCAGTGCTGGATAAGACCCTGCTCTCACTCAACAGAAGACTGGAGATTGTTTTCTCTGAAGAAGATAAAACCTCCTTGGAATGGAGGTTTAACCTATACAACTGAAGATATATAGAAATTGCAAAAATAAGTTAACTGAGAGATTAATCAGATGTGAATGAAGTTACAGAAATTGTGCAGGATGAATTAGCAATAGGTACAAGGAAAA